TATGCTTTTAATCTCAAAAACTTGTTTGATTCAACAAACTATAAAATCAGAAGATAAAAACACAAACATTCTTCATACTTTTTTACTCAAAAAAAAAAAAAAAATACAAGAACTAGCAAAAGCTTATCGAAAGATAAATTATAGGGGAAGGTTCATCACATAACAGATCTAGTGGAGACAATAAAGTGCGATAATACAGTAATATAACACACTTAATTATATATGCAATGTGCATGGAGATAGTACTGGGGCCATGAATTAATTTCTAGTTGGGAAACCAGAAAATGGTATCATCCGGAAGGAAGTGGCAAACAGGAACACTCCCCGGCTTAACGTTAAGCAATTTGAAGGCAACGTGGTCAGGGCTGAATTCCTTGGTGTCAATGTGGCACACAGCAACGGCCTTGGCTTTTGTGCCATCAGCAGCAACCATGGGAACCATGTATGACCTTGTGCCATGTATGACATGGCAATAGTAGACAGCGTATGGGTATGTCATCCCATGGCACACCACTTGGTTTCCTTCTCCCATTTGCTTTACGCCTGAAGATCTAGAGATGGTGAAGTGATTCTTGTGCCTATTCTCTCCATCTACTTCTGTCCCCACTGCCGTGATGTTCTTCCCCAGCTTTGAAATGCTCCAGTCTATCATCGACTCTAACGATGTTGTACAGTGCATTGCTTCTTCTTCATTATCTTCTGTACTCCTCTCGCAAGCTGTGATTGTCTCCTCTATGGCCTCTGCTTGTATTGATCCGGGCTCAATTGAGAACTCATCTAAGATGTCTGGTAGTTTGTTAGAGGAGAAAGGAATCGAGTCAGCCACTTGCCGGGATAAGAGGGTGGCTCTAGTGTAGTCTCCTGATACTTCCAAAGTCATCTCTTTGCCTGAATACAAGCTTTCCTCCAGGAAGTAATGATCAACATCAGCAGTCAGTTGTTTGTGGTTGTGAAAACATACTTCCTGGAAACCCTTCAAAGAACCCCGTTTCATAAAATGCCACTGTGCGTTGTATCTAGGAACTACAATCATCTTTCCAAGGTGATTTAGTTCAGAGTTTAAATAGATACCTGATATGACTTGTATATATTCAGATAATTCATTCAGATTTATTTGCAATTGTTGATAATAAACAACATTGTAGCAAATTAAACTAGGTTATAGAGATAAATAAGCTAATAGATTGTGGG